TATCGCAGCCTTCTGCTTTCATGAGATAATATTGTTCCTTTTAAAATTAAAAAAAATTAAAATATGATTTGTGTTTCTGAAACCTTTGCAAGAATTGCCTTTTAAGTATTCTCAGTGGTAAAAACAGCCAACAGCAGCTTTCCATAAAAATGCCTCCTGGTAGTTTATTTTTAGATTTTGAAGTTACCCCCTAAATCATATGAAAGGAATATATCTCCTAGAAAAATAAAAAGTTAGTTGAAAATTTTAAAAAATATAAATGATAAAAAAAATGTTCAACACATTACTTTCAAATCAACATTCTAATGGGTCTGACTAGGACTGTCATTCCATTATGTTTTCAGCCCTATGTTCTTTGGGGGGTTAGCCATATTACCTTCAAACAGTGGACTAATATTTCATTTTTCTGTGTGCAAACATTGCATTCAGTTTTTTCATTTTTACATTTATACAGCTCACTGAGATATAATATGAAGTATTTAATTGCTCATTCCTCAACTGCTGAAGTATATACTTTCATTAGAGCTTTAAATTAAAGATGGAATGAAAGTTATTGTTTTTTTAATAGACATATAAAGGTACGCACTCCAAAGTTTGTAGTAAGTATAATGACATCAATGTGTCTGCCAACTAAAATTACTTCTGTAATGCATCTCCTTATACCCAAAGTCTCTCCTTGGGATGGACTGCACGTATTCAGAAAAGCACACCTTGATTAAACCTGTGTGCCTGTAGGTAATATAAAAAGTCAAATTATTCTGTATATGTTTTTTATCTAACTTTTGAAATAACAGTATTTTGCCTTTATTTTATGCATATAATTTGAAAAGCTAAACACAGTGAATTTGTCATTTACATTATGTTATTTTGTAGAATATGTAGCCCCCAAAATATAGAAACTCTGTAGTATCCAGCATCAGCTATGCATGAGTCAAGTACTCTCTTGTGCAACTAGGTTGTATGTCCATTTTATCAGTATTTAAATTCAGTGATTGGATGCAGTCACTACTAACTGAGTTGGATTTCATGCTGCATTCCTCGGGGGCCAGTTAAATATACACTATCCTGGAATTTAATCTCATCACAACTTTGCCACATTAATGAACAGACACTGTAGGTATAAACATTAATAAGAAATTCTTTCTGCCTTGTAATCTATATGCATAAAATACTATACCAGTATTATAACTAAATTGACTCTGGTAAAAAAATAAATAAGGAGAGATAAGTTTTAAGGAAGCGAGGAGAAAATGATGCCAGAAAGAGTAATTTTGGTTGTAAACAAATTTTTCAGATGCTATTCCCGATCTATACAGCATTAGGAGACTCACATTAACCTCCCTCTGCTACAGTTTTCTCATTTATAAAATAGGGCTAGTGTTAGTTTCTACCTGCTAGGAGTCATGGTAAATTATATGTAATAATAAGTGTAATACAGTTAATATAGTGCTGGCACATAGAGAGGACTTATCTATAGATTGGGATTTTCTTGTTTTTAACTATCTGACCTGAATATAAAAGTGAAGAAGTAATCAATGTTGATGCATTAGAAGAAGCCGTTAGTATTAATGAGGTGGTGTAGTAAGACTGAACTTTACCTCATCAAATGTAGCCCTGGATCATCAGCATCCAATAGTCTTATAAAGAAGAAGATCATTTTTTAAATTATATTTTTAAACAAATTGAAAAATTATATTTCTAGACCTCTTTGAAGCAGAAATGCTGGTGTTTAAGCATTGGTGTTAGAATTTGCCTTGTGACTCTCATGAATGACTAAATATCAGAACACTAATACAGAGTACCTAAAATATCACATAAAATTTTAAATTCCATCCATATTTCAAACTCAGGAGAAGGAAAAGCACCTCTGGGAGAGAACGAGGTGCAGCCACAGATGGAAATGTAGGAAGTAATGCAAGAGAGCACTGTTTAGAATTCAGGGTAGACAGAGTTTAAAAAAATCCACTATTGCCTATCTCATATTCTACAATTTTCTGAAAAATAAAGAGAAGCATTGCAGGCATTATGATTGATCAGTCACTGTTTGCACTCTCCCTGCGCCCCAACACCAGATAGAGTTAAGTCCTCTCTTTACCCCTCACAATTCTATTTTCTCCTCCTGATGCTCTCTTAACCCATGTGACCAGTATCTTATACTTAGCATTTACTATTTTCTGTATTTCTTTATACATTCATACACACACTCATATATATAATACATTCATATATTCCTTTTCAAAATGAATGCTTTAAACTTAAATTTAATAGTATTCCTGCTTTAAAATTAAGTTTCTATTACTTTTGTAAAATGTATTCATGATGATGTGTGTATCTTGGGTTCACTTTTAATTCTTCATTCTGTGTTACATTTTATGAAGAGTAAATAACCTAATTATTCTACCTCTTATTGATATTTAGATTGCTTTATGTTTTCTATGCCATGACTATTCCTGTCTCCTTGTGTACAAAGTTTATCTGTTCTTATTATAATATTGTTTTATTGCCAAATTGCTCTCCATATCTATACCACTCTGCATATTCATCAAGACTGTATTTTTAGACGACAATTTTCTGTGGATCTCTTGATTTTTTTTATTTTTTATTTTTTTGCATATCATGTGCAGAGACACTGTCTTTTTTATCCCAACCTCTCTTTTCAAGTTCTTTTGCATAGCAAACATTTGCATAGTGTCTCCCTCTGGAACATAAGGAAGGTCTGTTTAATATCTGGTGTAATAAACATAATGTCTCCGTTTTAGATAATGCAGGAGCAGGTTTGGTTACTATCAATTACAAAATACTAAGCTTTGGTAAGCTCAGGGTTTCTCAAATGTGATACAAACCAAGTCACATGTAAAATCACCTGGGCGCTCGGGCATCACCCTGTGGGACTTGGGAGACAAGGGGAGCCAATGCTACTGTGAAGCTTAGCTATCAGTTTATGCTGACACTATAGACATCAGATGTACAAAAATCAGATACATATTATAACGCAACTATACCTATAATAGCTACATTTAAAAAAACTGAAAATGTATACAAAGAACAGAAATTTATAAAAGTGGCACAACAAAGATTTTTAGACTTACATTTTTAGAGTAGTTTTAGGTTCATAACAATTATTGAGCAGAATGTACAATGATTCCCTATATACTCCCTATTCCAAAGCATGCATAGTCTTCCCTAATATCAGCTTCCTCTACTAGAGTGGTATATTTGTTATAATTGATGAACCTTCGTTGACCCATCATTATCTGCCAAAGTCCATAGTTTACATTAAGATTCACTCTTGGTGTTTTATATTCTATAGGCTTGGGAAATTTATAATTACATGTATCCCCCACTATATCATCATGCAGAGTAATTTTATTGTACAAAAAATCTTCTGTGCTCATCTTGTTCACCCTTCCCTCTCCCCTAACCCCTGGGAAGCACAGTCTCCATATTAGTGCCTTTTCCAGAATGTCATATAGTTGGAATCATAGAGTAGGCTTCTCAGATTGGTTTATTTTACTTAATATGCATTTACATTTCCTCCATGTCTTTTCATAGCTTAACAGCTCATTTCATAATAGATCTAAATAATATCCCACTGTTTAGTTGTAGCACTATTTATATTTGCACTTACTTGCTAAAGGACATCTTGATTGCTTCAAAGTTTTGGCAATTATAAATAAAGCTGCTATAAATGTCCAAGTGCATATTTCACCTCCTTTGGGGAAATACTAAGGAACACAGATGCTGGGTCATATGAAAAAAGCATATTTAGTTTTGTAAAAAAACAAAATAAAAAAAATCTCCCAAACTATCCTCTAAAGTGGCTGTACTGTTTGACATTCCAACCAGCAGTAAATAAGAGTTCCTAGTTGTCTGCATACTTGCCAGCATTTGGTGTTGTAAGTATTCTGGATATTGAATCTTTTAATAGGTGTGTAGTGGTAATTCAATTTTGTTTAATTTGCACTTCTCTTATGATATATCATAGGAAGCATCTTTTTTTATTAAAATCTGTGGCCCATTCTTTAAATGTGTTTTAAAAAAAAAATATATATTTTATTGAATTTTTACAGCGAGAAAGAGAGAGGGATAGAGAGCTAGAAAAATCGATGAGAGAGAAACAAAGACCAGCTGCCTCTTGCATACCTCCTGTTGGGGATGTGTCTGCAACCAATGTACATGCCCTTGACTGGAATTGAACCTGGGACCTTTCAGTCTGCAGGCTGACGCTCTATCCACTGAGCCAAACTGGTTTTGTTTTCTTATTGTTGAATTTTAAGAGTTCTCCATATATATTTTTTATAACAGTTCTTTTTAAAAAAAAATATATTTTATTGATATTTCTCAGAGAGGAGGAAGGGAGAGAGATAGAGAGCTAGAAACGTCAATGAGAGAGAAACATCCACCAGCTGCCTCTTGCACACCCCCTACTGGGGATGTGCCCGCAGCCAATGTACATGCCCTTGACCGGAATCAAACCTGGGACCTTTCAGTCCACAGACCGACACTCTACCACTGAGCCAAACCGGCTTCGGCTTATAACAGTTCTTTATCAGATTATCTTTTGCAAATATTTTCTCCCAACTTATGGCTTGTATTTTATTCTTGTGATATTGTCTTTGGTAGATGAGAAACTTTTAATCCCTTTCATTGTCTATGCCAAAGACCAGTTGACTATAAATATGTTAAGTAATAAGTAAAATTATATATCTCCAACTTTCCAAATGAGACCTCAATAGACTTTTGTTTCATATCTCTCTGACACTTAAATTAGATGACTTTAAATCTGTTTATATGCCAGGTTATTCTGTGATAATTTGGTGATTATCTACAAATGTCTGCAAAATTTGATGCTTATTATAGTACTTCAACTTTAATAAATAACATTAGTACTTTCTTATTTAATAAAATTTCTGAATGCCTACCTCTATTTGGTTACAACACAATTAAGTACCTCTGAAGGAAATACTGGGAATATTATTGCATAATTATTTTGATTTCAGGCTGGACAACAGCGTTGGTGGGAACAAGAGATTAAAATAAATGGAAATATTCAAAAGGGAGAATTAATTACATATAATTTGACTGAGCTAATTAAACCAGAGGCTTATGAAGTCCGACTAACACCTCTCACCAAATTTGGCGAAGGAGATTCAACAATTCGTGTCATCAAGTACAGTGGTAAGAAACCTTTTATTTAAAAGTATTTATTTTTATATTAATCTATCTGTAATATGTAGCTTGCAACTATCTACCAAATTTAGGTACAAACTAAAATTATATTCATTTACTGGATCATCAGCTAAGTGACCAAAAAATGTCCATACTATTTAATCATAGGTGGTAATATTTGATTATAAATGTAGAGATATAGAATAATGTTTTAGTTAACATTCAATCTACTCAATGATGTCAGCAATGTTCCTTTTTTCTACCCCATAGTTATGATGCAATATTTCTGCATTTTAGTTTTTTCAAGTTCTTGATGGCTTAAAAATTTATATCACTAAAAGGTAAGCAAAAGTGATCAAAAAGCGTTTAAAAAAATTAATGGACTTTATTTTTTATTTTTTTTTAGATTAACTTTAAGGTTACATAAAATGGAAACAGAAGTATAGACAGCTCTTATATATGCCCTCTCCTCCAACACAGTTTTCCCAATTATTAACATCTAACATTAAGTGAACAATTGTTAGAGTTGGCTAACTGATATTGACATTTTATTATTAGAGTAAATAGTTTACATTAGGATTTATGATTTGTGTTTACAGTTCTATAGATTTTGAGAAATGTGTGATGTTATTTATCTGCCATTACAAAACCACACAGATAGTTTCACTCCCCTAAAAAGTCACTCTGCTCCATCTATTTGCCCCTCCCTTCATCTTCCAACCCTCAGAACCATTGATCTCATTCTTTTTTATTTACAATTTTTCTTTTTCCAAAATTTTGGAATCATACAGCATGCAGCTTTTTCAAACTGGCTTATTTCACTGAGCAATACACATTTAAGTTTTTCCATGTTGTTTGTGGCTTGATAATTATTTTATTTTCTTGTAGAATAATGTCCCATGTGCAGAGTTATTATTGTTTATCCATTCACCTATTGTTGAAGAGCATTTTAGTAGACTCTTTGGGTCATTATTTTCTTTATATTGCTAATCTTAAAAATATCTAAATGTTTATGAGTTTGTATCAAACAATGTATCTTTACAAACTACATGCATTTTATATTTCTTCACTATTTACATGTCCTACTTGAGAAAAAAATTAAAACTAGTATAAAACTGTAAAATAATTGATCAAAAACTTTATCTAAAAAGTATAAACAATAGCAATGGTTAGCTCCAGAACTGTCAAAGAATGTTCAGGCTTGAATGAATCAGTGTCAATATATTTCATATTTATTTCATTAATCCAATTAAATATTATTCTTTGTTTGCCATCTAAGTTTGACTTAAAAAGATAATACAATGTATATTTTTGCAGTTGAAAGTCTCCACTCTTTTTTACATTAAGTATATTTCCCATGTAAGAAAGAGTGAATACTATCATAAGTAAAAAGTAAAGTGAAATTCATAATTCATTAAAACTTATTTTTCATATTAAACCACTCCCTTTCTTCACTCTTTTCTCATTAGTTAGAGTATATTGGGTTTGATGTTCAATTTTGATTAAAGATTAAGATATATAGAATGGGGGAAAAGTAGATTTACAGTAGCTTGTATGGAAAATAATACAATAATTAATACATAAGAATATAAGAATAAATTGTGTTTCACATACAATTGTAAACCTACTTTTGTGTTATCTTGTGTATGGTAGAGTGGAATATTAATTAAAAGCATTAGAATCACTGCATCTTTTTTAAATGTGTCCTTTGAAAATATATCTTTAATTTTAGTGATATTTATATAGTATACAGAATACAACTGATATTCTTTAATCACTACCATTATTTCATTGGACAGACAACTAGAAAGCATCCAAATATATTTTTCTAAAGTTTTAGTTTTATATGTTTTTAAACTATGAATTATTATCTCCTCTTGTCTTTTAGTTTTAATTAAATTTATTAGGGTGATATTGGTTAAGGAGATCATATAGGTTTTAAGTTTAATTTCAATGACACACGATCTTGTCTATTGCCTTGTGTGCTCACCACCCCAATGGGATGAGGAGTAGGAAAGGGAAAAGTTGCCAAGTATATGGTGACAGATGATTTGATTTGGGTGGTGGGTACATAATACAATAAATCTCCTCTTATCTAATGTTTATTTTCCTTACCATCAAGTTATAAAACTCTGGACTGTTTAATATGAAGGGGTATTAGAAACTATGCATTAACATTTATTTATTTAAAAGTTAAAGGCATCAGATTCAAAAAGTTTTTGTATCTTATAAATTTAAACAATTATGAAACTACTAGAGGCTTGGTGCATGAAAATTCATGCACTCAAGGGGTCCCTCAGCATGACCTGTGCCCTCTCACAGTCCAGGACCTCTTGGGATGTCCACCTGCTGGCTTAGGCCTGCTCCCCAGGGGATTGGGCCCAAGTTGCAGCTGACATCCCTCTGGCAGCCGGGAGCGGGCCTAAGCCGTTAGTCTAATATCCTTAGTGCTACTGCCTGCCGCTGTGCTGACAAGCCATTAGCTGCTTCTGACTTGACCCATGCTCCCCGTTTGGAAGTGCATTGACCACCAGAGGGCAGCTCCTGAATTGAGCGTCTGCCCTCTGGTGTTCAGTGCATGTCATAGCGACTAGTCATTCCCTGGTATTTCCACAATTAGTGTCAATTTGCATATTACCGTTTTATTATATAGGATAAACTCAACAGAACTAGGGCTCATCACTCAATGACAGAGTATCCATACTTCTTTGCTAAGTTTAGAAATTATTGTGACCATCTTAAAGTGATATAGAAAAATATTCTTCCTGAATTCAGTGGGTCTTATTGAAAAACTAGAAGCCCAGTGCACAGATCACTGCACCTGTGAGGTTCCTAGTCCTGGTTTGCAGGGATCGGGCCAAAACCAGCTCTCTGACATCCCCACGGGGTCCTGGATTGCAATAGGGCATAGGCCAGGCCAGGTGCACTATTGGGGCCAGGGAGGGACTACAGGAAGGCTCCAGGGCATGTCTCGCCCCTCTTATCCAGTCCTGATCTTCCAGACCCCAGCAGCAAGCTAACCTATCGGTAAGAGCATCTGCCCTCTGATGATCAGTTCCCTTCATAACAAATGATAGAATGGCTGAATGAAAAATTGGACAGTTAGCGTATTAGGCTTTTATTATATAGGATATGAAGCAACAAACTAAAATAAAAAATCTGAAGTCCTGTTTGGTTCATTGGATAGGGCAACAGCCTACAGAATGAAGGGTTCAATTCCAGTAAAGGACATGTACCTTGATTACAGGCTCAGTCCCTGGACCCTGTCAGATGGTACAGGGAGGCAACCAATAGATGTGTCTCTCACATCAATGTTTCTCTGTGTGTCTCTCCCCCTCCCGTCCACTCTCTTTAACAATGAATGGAAAAATATCCTAGGGTGAGGATTAACAAAAATAAAATTAAAACTGGAAAATAAATATTATGCTTAGTTTTAATTTTCTTTAATTATCTTTACATTCTTAAGTATACCTATTAAAATTGTAAACATTTCATTAAAATTACTAATTGAATATAGGTTGGAATAAAATATGCTTTAACCGTATTCTTGTATTTATATGAAATTAGACATCAAATTCCATTGAAATAAGAAAATAAACTCATTTCATTACTTAGAATTTAGAATGGCAAATTTTCACAAGGGTAGTTGTGCTATTTTTAGCGAGTTTTGTGACTAAAAACATCAGATGAGAAGACAAAATTCAGCATGGTCACTCAGACAGAGAGAGCGGATTGTTGGTTTCCAGATGGAGGGGGGACGTTGAAGGACAGAGTGAAGGGATTAAGATGTAAAAATTGATAGTTACAAATTAGTCACAGGGATGTAAAGTTCAGCATAGAGAATACAGTCAATAATATTGCAATAACTATGTATGATGCCAGTTGGGTACTGGAAATATTGGGAAGAACACTTTTTAAAGTATATGATTGTGTAACCATTATGCTGTACACTGAAACTAATACAAAATAATATTGAAAGTAAACTGTAATTGAAAAATAAAAATTAAATAGTCAGTCTGGTCAGAGGTTACCTGTAGTTGTGAATTATTTCTTAGAATTAAATTATAATTCAGAGATGTTTATTCCTTTGAAAGATAGACAACACTATATCATTTTAATTACAAAATAATTTTTATTTTTACAAATTAACTTTAAAATAAAATACATTGATATTTTGCAAGAAAAACAATTATTTTTTTCCACCTCAATGAAATTATTAAATGTATAGTCCCTTCACCATGTTATTTATTTCATCATTTTAAATGGGGAATACAGAATAATAAAAGCAACTAAAGTAATTGGAATGGTCTGTCTTCTGAAAATGAACTCACTTTATTAAAATTGGTCTCAATGTACTAATGAACAATTACATATGAACATGTTCTGTGCATGTGTGTACATTTATTGAGTTTTATACTTCACTAGTAAAGTCCCAAGTTTAAGATAAGTGGTTAGTATCTAACACTAGGAATTAACAGTAGAGCACATAAACTTTTGCGGTTAGAATAGCTGCCCATTGTAATCTTGGGAGACTACAATAATGCTTTCCTTCATACAGAATGGAACTTTCTCTCCAAGTGATAAATGATTACTCAGTATATAGAGATAACATTTGTCTTTTAGATTAGATGTATTTTTGTTATTGTTTTAGTAAAGTGTGAAGTGTTTAATACTCTTCAACCAGAAAGCAATTGGTGCCTTGGGAGGTGTGGCTCAGTTGGTTGAATGCATCAAAAGATTGCTGGTTCAGTTACCTGTCAGGCATATACTCAGACTCTGGGCTTCATCCGTGAGGGTGTGCAGGAGGCAGTCAATTGATGTTTCTCTCTCCCTCTCCCTTTCTCTGTCTAAAAATAGCAATAAAAATACATACTTTTAAAAAAATCAATTGTTACTTTTTTGCAAACACAACCAGTCTTTTTAAGATAAATATTTCTTCTGGTGCACAAAAATGCAAATGTGTTGCTTAACATTTGAAAATTGTGTGTGTGTGAGAGAGAGAGCACCTGTGTATAAATGTAATGAAACAAAGCAGCACTGAAGTGGCAGTTTGTTTTAGGATGCTTACATAATGTGATATGAAGATTGCTTTACTTTCATATATACCATTTTATTTTCACCGGAAGTAAATAGCAGAAAAAACAAACAAACAAACAAAAAAACCTGAGGTGTACTCTCTGTTAATAATTGCTTTCATTATTAAAATATCTGGATTATATATTGTCCTACTGTCACCGTCAGTTTTGATTTCTACATTTTGCTTAGAACTGGTTAAGATATAAAAGTTGGCAACTCCACTCTTTGGAAGATGACAAATTCCACATGCTATTAAACATTGAGCTTTGAGTACTTTCAGGCTGTTATTGCTGTGCTCTATTCAATCCCCTTGGACAAAATGGATTGCAAATATAATTCTCCATGGTCACAGTGGGGAAGATCATTAAGCTTTGGTAAAGAACTATGAGACACTGATTAGACTTTATTGATAAAAGACATTCTAGCTATGCTAACATTATTTTTTGTTTTTGTTTTAATTTTCCTGTAGCTCCTGTTAATCCTCATTTAAGTAAGTATATTTTTACTTTAAAAATTACATTGTATTCTATACTTAAAAATAGAAAATTCATAAACATACAAATACTATTTAGCAACTATCCTTATTTGATTTAAAATAGGCTAAGAATCAGTAAAATGAGCATTAAATGTAAATTTTAAGTTCAAGGATATGGTTATAAAGACAGATTATTTAATATTAATATTGATTTTAATAATTTTTCTAAATATGGAGTCATTTACTTCAACTTCTTAATATTTGTTATTTGTGTAACTGTGGAATTAATTTTTTTTCTATTGTGGCATTACATATCATTTTAATTGCTATTATTTTTCTTTAATTTTCATTTTTTATTTTTACATTCCACTCATAAAGACTATTGTTACTTAGAAAATTGGTATTTGAATGATTTAAACAAGATTTTTCATGGAGCCCTGACTAATTGGCTCATTGGTTAGAACGTCATTTATACACTGAAACAGTGGGTTCAATTCCCAGTCAGAGCAGTTGCAGGTTTGATCCCCAGTCAGGGTGCTGACTGGTGGCAACTATTCAATGTTTCTCTCTCAAATCAATGTTTTTCTCTCTCAATCCCTCTCTCAAAAATCAATAAAAACATATCCCTTGGTGAGGATTGGGGGTAAAATCTAAAGATATTTAATAGATTACTACTCTATATCCCAATCTTATCTAAAAAAAAAGGTTATAAACTGGTCACCATTGTTTTAATAATATTTCACATTAAAATTAAGAATGATTTTGTGTGTTAGAATATATTGTTCTTGGCTAATAAAAGAATGAAGAGCTCCTTTGCATTCTTAATTCCATCCATACAAAATCCTCCATTTCCTATTCTCCATTTTCTCACTTTACTGTAGTTCCTTTTCTGCAATGGTCTTTCACTTCCTCTACTAGTATAATAAAGACAAAACTATGGAATATCTGTACTTGTTATGTTTTCTACTGAAGATCCTCTTTAACTCCATTTTTTCATATTCAAAGTTTAATATTAAATATTTTGTAGATTTCTATTGTTTACATATTTCTTTCCTGTTATAAAAATTTATTTAGTCATCAAAATGACCCCTTGAAGTGAGTACTATTATCAACACTTTGCTGTTCACTTTTATATATAGTTTAGTACAAATACATCTTGCTCCACTAAGTATTTCCTCTTTTTATTTCCCATCATAATTTATCTTCATTGTATGATAAGATAATCCTCCACTAAATTATAAAATATTTTAAAACTATATCTGTTTCTAATTTCTCCTGATATTTACCAGGTGTTCAAATGTTCATTGCATGACAGTTTCAGGATGAATTAATTGTTTAAATAAGAACCTCTCCAGTTTCTTCCCATGGTACTATTGCTAGTTAATTACTATATTGATTATAATTCCTTTCAAAGTAAGTTCGCTGGCTGCACACTAGGTAGAAATGTTTAAAAAGAGTTATCATGGGAATATTAAAACTAGATACAGGATAAATTTTACAACTATTTCAACTCAAGAAAAAAATGTTAAACATTGTCTATCTACTAAGCAATAGATATATGTAAATTACTAGCAGATGGAGTGTTTGCTCACAGATGATCTCAATCTATATATAATAATAAAAGCCTAAGTGACCATCACAACCGAACAGACTGTGTGGGGTGGCCAGGCCTGCGGGGGGCCAGTGAGGGGTGGCCAAACGACTGAGCTGCAGGCTGCATGGGCTGACCTGGCCCACATGGGGGGCAGTTGGGGATGACCAAGCTGGAAGGAGGGGGGTTGCATTGAGGGCTGACCAAACAACTGAGGAGCAGGCTGCATGGGGCAACCAGGCTGGCAGGGGGGGTTAGTGAGGGGCAACTCAACAACTGAGCAGCATGCTGCGTGGGGCAAACAGACTGACAGGGGCGTTAGTGAGGGGTGGCCAAACAACCGAATAGCAGGCTGTGTGGGGTAACCAAGCCCACTGTGGGTGGCAGTGAGGGATGACCAGGCTGACAGGGGCCAGTGAGGGGTGACTAGCCTGGTCAGCAGGGGGCAGTAAGAGGCAACCAGGCAGGTGGGTGGGGGAGTTAGGGGAACCAACACTGTAGGACATCTCCTGAGGGGCCCCAGATTGGAGAGGGTGCAGGCTGAGCTGAGGGGACCACCCCCATGCACGAATTTTGTACACCGAGCCTCTAGTACAATATAAGTATAACAAGGGGCCCAGTGCATGAAATCCCTGCATGGGGGAGGGGGTGGCGGTCCCTCAGGCCAGCCTGCACCCTCTCCAGTTGGAGACCCCTTGGGGATGTCCAATCTCTGGTTTAGTCCCAGCACCACAAAGTTTCATCATCCTTAAAATTTCCCTCTGCTCCTTTGTAGTTAAATCTCCATGCATCAAGTTCCTAGCAAGCTTGTTTTCTGTTACTATAAATTTACTCTAATATTTTGGTTAGTTACAATATATTTATTGTTTATCCTTCACATTTAATTAAAACATACCTTCTAGTAATTATATTGTTAATGAAGTTGTAGGGAAAATGAAAATTAAATAGTTCAGGAAAACATCTAAATGAGAAAAAATAAAGTTAAAAATATTAAGTACTTCTGTTTTGAATATGAGTTGTTTCTGAAAATGCAGAAAATGCTGCTAAATCTTATATGTTCTTAATAATTATTTTTAATGAATTCTTATCATATTATTTAACAATATTTTTTAAAAATTGATCATTGTCTTGATAATGAAATTTTAAAATATTTAGAATATTTGTTGGCTAAATTATAAATTACTAAAGGCCCAGTGCACGACATTCATGCAATAGGGGGCGGGTGTACCTCCTTTGGCAGTCATTAGTACTACTGCAGAGGCAAGAGAGGCTCCTGCCACCACTGCTGTGCTCATCAGCTGTGAGCCCGGCTTCTGGCTGAGTGGTGCTCCCCGTGTGGGAGAACACTGACCACCTGGGACATCTCCTGCACTGAGTGGCTGCCTCCTGGTGGTCAGTGTATATCATAGCGACCAGTGGTTCTGCCATTCGGTCCATTTGCATATTAGGGTTTTATTATTATGATAGTATGCCTGAAACATCTTCTTAATAGTAAAAATTAATTATATGACAATAATAAGTATTATGTTTAAATGATAATAAATATGATATGAGGATTTATATATTGGCAACAAATTATACTCATACTAAATGTTCTTTTGTATTTTATCAACTTACATAATAATTAAGTGAATTTATCCAAAATATCCATTCCCAAAATATATAATTTCATAACATTTGTCACAGTCTGATTCTTCATTAGACCTAAAAAAAAATAATTTGTCAAATTTAAATGATAAGGGCCTTCTATTTTTTGAATTTTTTTATTGAAAATGTTAACTGATAGGAAAGAGGGTTAATGGTGAAGAGAACCATGTTCTACGGGTTTTAATCCACACCAGCAGCTCTCCATTGACCTCCTCACACACTGCTCATTTTGTCAGAAAGGGACCTTCAGACCAGCCTGAACTTTAGCCTGTGGCTCGACGACTGGCAACCAGAAAATATATGAAATCAAAGTGAAATGAATTTTTGGGCCTCTCAAGTATGAAGTTGGAATTTTCTACTGTAAAGAAGTTTTTATTTTTTTGCAAAGTGTATTTGGTTTGATTTAGGTTCTGCATTCTGTAAAATTGTTGAAATTTAAAAATTTGAGGAAATTATCTTTTGAACATTTTTGTTGTACATTAGAGGTTATGAGTACTAGATGATATGTATTATATGAAATATATGTGCATATAAATATATATGCAATATAAAATGCATGTATAAATATATTCATACTAGGGGACCAATGCACAAAATCCATGCAGGGCCTGAGCCCCGCAGCACGGCAGCTCGCCTCAGCCCCAGCTTTGTCCGGAAGGCCATCTGGAAGGACATCTGGAAGCTCGTTTGGCTGTCCAGTCTAATTAGCATGTTACATTTTTATTATTGTAGATAGTATACTTGAAAATATGCCTATCTCGTGGAAAACCACTTAAAACTAAAAAGAATAGTTACTTTAATTACCTATAATATCAGTCCAAAGTTAGTGCTGATGAACAAATTTAATAAAATGGTATAATACAAAATCAACATTCAATAAACAGTAACTTTCTATACACTAACCATGAACTTTCTAAAAATGAAATTTAAAAAAATCCCATTAACAATAACAAAAAAAAGAATAAAATACTTAGTAATAAATTTAGCCAAAGAAATGAAAAAGTGTTGAAGGAAATAAAATAAAATAAAAACACAACCAAATGGAAAGACATCTGTGTTCGTGGAATGGAAGAATTAATATTGTTAAAATATTTATATTATACAAAATTATCTATAGATTCAATTCAATTCCTCTTAAAAAATCAATGGCATTCATTATAGAAATAGTGAAACAAACCCAAAATACATATGGAGCCACAAGAGATCCTAAATAATCAATGCAATTGTGAGCAACAAGAACAAAGTTGAAGGCATCACACATTCTGATTTTAATTATCCCTTTGAGTTATATATTACAAAGCCATAGTAATCAAAGGAGTATAGTACTAGCATAAAAATTGTATTTAGACCAATGGAAGAAAATAGAGACCTCAGAAATAAATCCATGAATTTATGGTCAACTGATTTTCTATTAGTTGCTAAGAACACACAATGGAGAAAGGATAGTCTCTTCAATTAACCATTGTGCACAGTTGGCAGCAATGTAACTTTAACAGCCATTAGAGAAAAAAGTATGGAGATGCCTCCAGATATTAAAAACAAAAACAAAAACACCCATGTGATCCAATAATCCCAATTCTTATTATAAATACAAAGGAAATGAAATCTCAGTCTTTAAGGGGCATCTGTTATTCCAATTTATTGCAGAAGTATTCAAAATAGCCAAGACATTAAATTGTTTAAATATCCATATAAAGATAAATGGATAAAGCAAATGCAGAATATGCATACAAGAGAACACTATTCAACTTAAAAAAAAATTCATTCTGTCATTTGAAACTACATGGATAAACCCGGCTCCTTATGCTAAGTGAAATACACCAGACAGAGAAGGACAAATACTGCAAGATATCACGTATATGTGGAGTCTAAAATATTCAAAATCAGATTCAGGGAGCAGAATGGCTGTTGCCAAGAAGAGGGAAGGGGAATAGGAAGATATTGGCCAAGGTTTACACTTTCAGTTATGTCTGGATTTAATGTACAGCGTGGTGACTATACTTAACAATACTGTATTGTATAATTGAAATTTGACAATAGGGAAGACCGTAAGCATTCTCACTAAAAAAGAAAAAGAAATTATGATAACTGCAATACTCTGATATGTGAAGTGATGAATATATTGTATTAATTCACTTAATTGTGGTAATCATCTCAAAATGTATATTCATATCCAAACATCAAGTTGTACACCTTAAATATATACACTTTCTATTTGTCAACTAGAGGCTCAGTGCACCAAGATTTGTGCACTCAAGGGGTTCCCTCAGACCAACCTGCAACTCTCACAATCCAGGACCCCTCAGGTAGGGTCCCTAGGCCTGGCCTGAGGTCAGGGCCTATCAGAGCTTTCCTTCCCAGGGCTGCAGGCAGCTGGCCCCACCCCCGCCACTGCCACTGCTTGCAATCTGTGCATGCTGCCCCTCCTCCCCTGCCACCGGTGGCCTCCCTCTGCAGGCAACAGGCTGGGGTGCAATGGCTTGGCTGGCCTGAGCCTTCCTCTTTATTTAGTGTAATATTTGTGGCACAAATATTTTAGTATGTATTTTGTGTGGAATATTGTTTATACAGAAACGTGCTGAGATTGAATTACTGAAATGCTTTTACTCCCTGAAAATCTTTTTAATCAGAATATCCTATCTAATAAAGAGAGAATATGTTAATTGACTGCCTTGCCCTCAAATATGGTGGCACTCACAGCAACAAGATGGTGGTACCCAGTCCCCTCAGCCCCTCCAGGGTGGCTCCATGCACCTGCCTCCGGAGTCCCCCAGCCGCCCAGGGCTAGCCTGAGGCCAGGCAAGACTCAGATAGCAGTTACCCAACCACTCAGGGCCACCCAAGGCTCAGGTAACCAGAGCTGGCCGAGGCTTGTGGTGCCAGCAGTGGCAGCAGCAGAGGTGTGGTGATGGGGCATCACTTTCCCCTGATCGCCAAGTCAACTCCGGCCCCTGAGGGTTCCTGGACTGTGAGAGGGGGCAGACTGGGCTGAGGGACCGCCCCCTCCAGTGCATGAGTTTTCATGCACTGGGCCTCTGGTACAATATAATTAAACACAAAGAGATTCAATGATTCTTAAATCTGAAAACAAAACAAAGAATATTCCTTAAGTTTAAAGGGAAAACCCTCAGTTTTACTTTTATTTATAAATGTCAATTGTGTCCTCATTTTACTATAATAAGAACAGTTAACAAGATATCTATCCTCTTCACAAAATTTTATGTGTACAATGCAGCACTATTAGCTATAGGCACAATGTTGTACAGCAGATCTCCAAAATTTATCTTGCAAAGTTACTAACCTTTGTCCAACATCTCTCCATTTCCATCTCCTCTGACCCCTGACAACCTTCATTCTATTCTTTGCTTTTATGTATTTGACTTTTATTAGATTCTACATATAAGTGATATTATGCAATTTTTTTCTTTCTGTGCTTGGCTTTTTCACCTAGTATAATGTCCTCCAGTTTCATCCATTTTACTGCAAATGGTAAGATAGACTTATTTGTTTAGGCTTAAAAATATCCCATGGAATATGTCTGCCACAATTTTTCTCTTTTAATTTATCAATGGACACTTAGGCTGTTTTCTATAACTTGGTTACTGTGAATAATACTGCAATGAACATGGAGTGCATATCTCTTTGAGGTACTGATTTAATTTCCTTTGGGTGTAGACTCATAAGACAGATTATTGGATCATATAGTAGTTTTATATTTAGTTTTTTGAGGCACCTCCATATTATTTTCCATGATACCTCAATTTACTTTCCCACCAATGGTGTGCAAATACCATGTTCTTTTGATTACTGTAATATATTTTAAAATGCCTCCAGTTTTATTCTTGCTCATAATTGTATTGGAAACTTGAGATCTCATGTGTGGTTTCACATGAAGCTTAGAAAAATTTTTTGTATTTCTATATAAAAAGATGCTATTGATATTTTTGTAGGGACAATTTTTGCGTTGTATCTATAGATCACTTTGAGTACTATGAATATTTTAATAAGATTAAATTTTCTTAAACCCATTTCAGATAGTTCATTGTTAATATAAAGAAACATGAAGATTGATTCAGGAGCATGATCCCAATTGCAAAGGTCCCACTCCCAACAATATCTGATAAGTCTACACCATAGTAGAGAGGAGAGAACAAAAACAATGGGAATCTCCTGTTCTTTAGATGTTTATATCTCTATGACTTTCAAGGAATATGTACTGTTTTGACTTTAATTTTCTAGTTGAACTAGGCCAGGTGAGCTTCACAAATTAGTGTTATTGTGATTTCATAGAGTTGTATTGAGTTTGAAGAAATTAATATAAATTGCATTAAGTTTTTATAAATTAAGAATAATTTTAATCTGTGTCTAGTGGAATCATCTTCTTTATTCACCTCTATATATCAAACAGGATACATCTCAGTGAGAAAACCTTGTGATACCTAGATTGTTACTACTGCCCTCATTTCAGGGCAGTTGAAGAAAGCTCTCTCTGAACTTGGGTCTAAAGTCAGCATGCAGTAGGCATTCAAAATATCTCAGTCCTTCCACTGGCCTTCACAAGGTCTTTTCATTACCTCATTTCTAGTGAATTTCAAACATCTGGCAAACCCATATTCATATAAAGTATGAAACTTAACTATTATTTAAAAGTATTTGCCATTAGCTTCCCATAAATACACTTACATTTGTGCAAATGGGTAAACATGAAAGCATCTCCAGACACAGTGTTATAACCTCAATGTACACAGCTTTACAACGCTTCCAGGTAAGTTTAAAATATGATTTCTAATTGACAGTTTAGCTTGAATTGTTTCTACACTGAAAAATGAAAGTTGGGAAAACTCGTTAGCCATAAATCAAGGGTGATTTACAGTCTTTAAGTTATCTGAATATTTCAGAAAAAAATGGTTTGGGTTTAAATTATTAAACAAGAGACTGACTTATATATTATTTTTCATTAAAATAAAATCATTTTATGTCTAGTTGTAATCTTATACACAATTATGGCTCTTATGGCTCTGATTTCATTACTGCAATTTTGCATTATTTTATTGCTGTATAAAGATTTAAATTTCTCCTATAAGAATATTGCTATTTAATTACTAATAATCACTTTAATTAAAATTTGTTAACAGGAGAATTTCATTGTGGATTTGAAGATGGTAACATTTGTTTGTTCACACAAGATGATACAGATAATTTTGACTGGACAAAGCAAAGTACTGCAACAAGAAATACAAAATATACTCCAAATACAGGACCTAATGCTGATCGTAGTGGCTCTAAAGAAGGTATGAGGGGATGAATTGTGTTAATAACAAACATACCTTAACCTTTGGATGTTAGAAATGTCATTAACATGAAAGGCAAGAAAACACTTAGCTATAGATTAAAAGATTGTGAAATAAAATATTAAACATTTTTGCACAATAATTCAGGTATTTCAAAGATTTGTAGACATTAATTCTCTCTCAGAATTCAGACACATATAGTTGACAGATTAGGATTATTATTTTGAAATTAAGTGTATAATTGGAATTTTGTCTTAACTTTTTATACATTTTAAAGTGTTTTTAAATATGTAAATTTCTTATTCTTTATATAATATACAGTTACATATTTCATAAATGAGATGCCAACCCTTTTATCAATTTTGTACTTGTATAAAAACTCTAAAACTTATCAACAATTTCAAATTTCATGTTACCTAATAACAATATGTTTAAACATTTTTTTTTCATCTTTTTAAAGGTTTTTATATGTATATTGAGACATCGCGACCAAGATTGGAAGGCGAAAAGGCTCGACTCCTCAGCCCGGTCTTCAGCATAGCTCCCAAAAACCCGTATGGACCCACAAACACTGCGTATTGCTTCAGCTTCTTTTATCACATGTACGGACAACATATAGGTGAGGTGCATGAGTTATTATGTTTCTTCTTCTAAAGCATATCATCACTAAGATGAAAAATGTTTATAAACACACAGCATTAAATCAATTTTAGTAAAAAAAAAAATCATTGACTTTTATATAACTTACTTAGAAAATGCAAAATAAGTTGCTAAAAATGTTCCTTCCCCCATCATGTCTTAATTTCCAAAATTTAGATTAGAATTTGAAATTTTGAACCATTGCCTACCTTATCTAGGATCCTAATTCAAGCAGATCATAAATGGGTTAAATTATGTATGAGATCTTCTTGTGGAATTTAATACCAGTACAATTTAGACTGCTTCTTTTAAAAAAAATTGCTTGAATTATCACTCAATGTATATTAATGATTGTGAAAAAGAAGTATTGTCATATTTGGAAGACAGTACTTTTACCACCATCTACACATTCAGAATATTGCTGTGAATTTTTTCTTGTTTATAAAGTATACCTAACACACTAGTGAGTTAAGAATATCCTCAGCCGAAACCGGTTTGCCTCAGTGGATAGAGCGTCGGCCTGCGGACTGAAAGGTCAGGGTTTGATTCCGGTCAAGGGCATGTACCTTGGTTGTGGGCACATCCCCCCAGTAGGGGGTGTGCAAGAGGCAGCTGAATGATGACTCTCTCTCATCAATGTTTCTAACTCTCTGTCCCTCTCTCTTTCTCTCTGTAAAATCAATTTTATATATATTTTATATATATAAGAATATCCTGCCAGGATCGGTTTGGCTCAGTGGATAGAGCGTCGGCCTGCGGACTGAAAGGTCCCGGGTTCGTTTCTAGCTCTCTAGCTCTCTCCCTTCCTCTCTGTAAAAAAATCAATAAAAATATATTTTAAAATATATATATATATATATTTTATTGATTTTACACATAGAGGAATTGAGAGGGACAGAGAGTTAGAAACGTCAATGAGAGAGAAACATTGATCAGCTGCCTTTTGCACTGGGGATGTGCCCGCAACCAAGGTACATGCCCTTGAGCGGAATTGAACCTGGGACCCTTCAGTCCGCAGACCGATGCTTTATCACTGAGCCAAACCGGCTTCGGCTAAAATATATTTTTAAAAAAAGAAGAATATCCTCAGTCCTTAAGAACATACAAAGATGAAGATACACTCTCTGCTCTTAGAGACTCTGCACAGTCATGGAGCATAACATGAGTAAATACACAACTGTGCTAGATAGAAACCACAGAAACTTGAGAAAGAACCTGCAATTCATAGAGGGAAACCGAGAAAGTTATATAAGACTATAATAATTTATGTGCCATCTTAAAATAAAATAAAAAACCTTGAAAGATTTTAATGTAATTATTTGGCAGTGCATGCTAGCCTACTACTATATATGTGTTAGAATATAACCTGGACTGATATGAGCCTGTTTATATAGTCCTTATTTAACCTAATGAGTGTGAACATTTGTACATTTTGCAGCAAAAATATTGCTGTGTGATTACATATTCCATTCTAGATTCTTCCAGGAGATGTCATGTAATATATACAAGATATGCACACTTAATAAGGAAAATTCTCAATGGTAAAGTATATCAAGTCCCATAGAGCTTGGACAAGGGAGTGGGGATCTGCATCTAATTAATGAATAAGTCAATGCTTTGGGAAAAGGAAAACATTTCTCTACAAAAGATGGGTAATTTTCAAAAGACAGAGATGAGCACAAGGAGGACTAAGGCACTGGAAACCTGGGTATAAAGTGTGAGAAGTTAGGATAGCATGGCATTGTGTCAATGTAAATTAATAAAACTAATAATAAATATGTATATTTTATAAAATAATGCACATTATATACAACATCTACTGTACTAAATGAAATAATCTTCTTAATCATTTTATAAATATTAGTATCACTGCCCATCTTTTCAGTGAAGAAAACTCAACCTCAGAGAGTTTGTTTGAATTGCAAGCAACAGGGATTCAAACTCACAGCCAGCACTATAAACCAGTATCAACCTGGAAGGGAAGCTCTTGTGCAGTAAACAGTACCCTCCACGTGAAGTCAGGGAACCTGTGCTGGGAGTTGCCCATAGCACTCAATCACTGTAAGAATGTACAGCAGTTATTTAACATGTCTGGATCTTAGTCTCCTTATTTATAAACAATGAATACTAATTCTTATTTCAGAAATTTTTTGTTCAAGTTAAATAGACAACATATGTAAAACCATCTATCTCATAGTAGACAATCTTATGTTATTTTGAATCTCAAATAGCAGCAATAACATCAATAATAAAGTAATAGCTCATTCTTATCAATAATAAAGTAATAGCTCATATCTTATGGAGTAAGACAGGAGTCCTAACATGTTCTGAAGTATTTCTTTTAATTTTTGCAATAAACATTGTACTCATTAAAATCACTACTGTGTGTTTTTTTAATAAGGAAACTGAAACACAGATAACTTTAAGTACCATGCCAATTAAACTTAGAACTGATAAGTACGGAAGCCATAAAACCAGTCTAGGAAGCTGGACTCAAAATCTGCCTGCTTCTGTTCTGCAGGAGACTTATGGAGTGTCACGGAAGCATAGTTGATTTAGTGGTCAGGGTAGATATTACAGGTTTCGTGCAGACAATAAGCATGATGAGATCTTTGATTTGGAAAAATAAATCTTATAGGAATGGTAAAATCATTGACAGAAGATGAGATAAAAAAGCAGTTAAAAAGCCATGAGAATAATCATGCATTTACTTCAGCCTAAACTTTAACAAGAAATTAATCCATATACAATTGCTAAGCCATTTTATTTATTTTGAGATTTCTATCTTATTACAAAAGTAGGGTTAGGTTGGCTATACTTTTTCCCTTTAGTTGATCATGTATATTTAATTTACTCTCTATTATAAATATACTAGAGGCCCAGTGCACAAAATTTGTGCATGGGGGGTGTCCCTTAGCCCAGCCTGCACCCACTTCAATCTGGGACTCCTCGAAGGATGTCCAACTGCCCATTTATTTGGGCCTAAATGGACAGTCGGATATCCCTCTCACAATCCAGGACTGCTGGCTCCCAACTGCTCATCTGCCTGCCTTCCTGATTGCCCCTAACCACTTCTGCCTGCCAGCCTGATCACTCCCTAATCATTCCCCTGCCAGTCAGATTGATGTCTAACTGCTTTCCTGCCAGTCTGTTTGCTCCTGACTGCTCTCCCCTGCAGGCCTGGGTCCCCCACAACAGCCCTCTCTTGCAGGCCCCATCACCCCCAACTTACCTCTCTTGCAGGCCTGATCCCTCCTAACTGCTCTCCCCTGCTAGCCATCTTGTGGCAGCCATCTTGTATCCAAATGGGGGCAGCCATCTTTGACCATATGAGGGCAGCCATCTATGTGTTAGAATGGTGGTCAATTTGCATATCATTCTTTTATTAGATAGGATAGAGGCCTAATATCTGGGATTTATCTTCTATAATTGAAACTCTGTAGCCTTGAGTGAAGGCCTGGGCCTGCCAGAGTATGAGGAAAGCTTTGCTTCCTCCATTTCTGAGGAAACCCAAACATCCTGCTCACTCAGTGGCTGTAGCCATCTTGGTTGGGTTAATTTGCATACTAGCTCCAGATTGGCTGGGGAGCATGGCTTGTGGGTGTGGTGAAGGTATGGTCAATTTGCATATTATTCTTTTATTAGATAGTATTTCATGGACTTTTTTCTTCCAATTTACCTTAAGATATGGATATTTTCAATTGTTTTTAAGTAAATAATTCAAAGATGAATATTTTAAAATATTTAAATGAGAAAATATGTAATTACCTTATTTATGAGCTGAAATACTCTCAAAATTTCTGCATATTTATGCTTAATCCCAAGATAACTTTAACATACTTTTAATTTAACAATTGTTTTCCTTATCCTTTTTTATTGTGAATGGATGTTCAGTTGATTTTGATTGTTTCAGGAAGAAGGCAGTTGTGCATTACTCCTTTGTTCTCATACATTTTCCACTTTGTTACCTATGATATTTCTGTGCTGTATCAGGAGGTTGGAAGTTGCAGGTGTCAGGTCACTTGGGTCCCTCGCAGCAGGACACAGTCATTCTTCTTACTGAAATCTAGGCAAATGTGTTTGTCCTATATATTGACTAATCAATTAGGATGAGGGAGATGCTGCCTGCAGTTGAAACCTTCTCTCTTTGCAAATATTGTGTTGAGACACTTAATGCATCTATGAGCCCTAGTTCATTTATAGTCACTGCTTTTATAAATAAAATTATCAGTTTTATTGATTCTTTGGGAAATTCATATTGTAAAATAATTTGTCCTGAATTTCTAATAGCCTAATCAAAGTTATTATTTCTTGTGGAACCATAAATAATCTTTGCTTTTTAACTATAACTAATGGATAGTAGACCATTGAGAAAAGTCTTAAATTTTTAATAATATAAAAATTCATAATCAGTTATACATTACTTAGAAAAGAGATTCCTCTTTTAAATAAAGTCAAATATATGTATTTATTGCTGAAGGATAAATTTCCCTCAAATTTTGTACTTTAAAGCAGTGGTTGAGGCAATAGACATTTACTCTCCCACTGTTTCTGTAGACCAGGAACATGGGTATGTCTTAGCTGGATACCTATAGCTCAAGGCCTTTCATAAGATTGCAGACAAGTAATGTGTAAGGCAGACTAATTTGAATATTTGACTTGGAGAAGATACATTTCTATACCCATTCTGTTGGCTTTGAGCAGGCTCACTCCCTTACAAGGATTACAATAAGGATATCAACTTATTGTTGGCTATTGGTCAGAGGCCTGTCTTCGCCATAGACTGTCTCATGGCATGGCCGCAGGCTTCCCCCAAAGCAAGAAACCTACCAGAGAGAATGCTCAAGACTTTTTATAATCTCATCTCTGACTTGACATCCCATAACTCTGCCTTGTTATATTTATTATAACTAAGTTGATAATTCCAACCCACAGTCAAGGGCAAGAACTTATACAAGGTGAAATAATTATGTAGCATTT